CCTAGGAAGGGAAATCTTCCTTCTCACCTCCTCCCTTCTTCTCTGCTTCCAAGCCACCATGATGTTAGCAGCTTTTCCTCCTCTGTGCCCCACTTTTATCCTGTTTCTGCCTTGTGGATGGCCAACCAGGTATTGTAACAGTAACCAAAAATAAACCTCTTGGCCTTTAATTTTTCATTATCAGATATTGTGTTTCAAGGATGAGAAAGTGACTAAGACCCAAGGTTATATGATGCATATTACTGTATGTATCATAAATCATGCACACAGGAATCTAGGTATATAAATATCTAGTTATGTGCACTCTTTTCTGAAGTCACATGACATACATGAAAATCTGTGTGCAAGAAGTCATTCTGAAATTTAGTAACTTACAATATTAGCTTTTAGTTAGCATATATTTTCACAGATTGGCAGTATAAAAGAAACTTATGAGTAGCTATGCAGACATGGTTTTGACTTGATGCTACCACTCGTGTGTCTTTCTCTAGTTGGGTAAGCAGCTTTATGAATTTAGGCTCTGTGCAGTCATCATTCTGCCTCAACTGTGACAGTTAAATTGACTTGAAACCATTGTTTTGTCTACAACAGATTGTTAAAAGTCTAACTTATTCTGTAAAATATTGGTAGTCCTTTATTCACCAATTTTTCAACCAGAATATAACACTTTTCTTGGTCCGCTTCGTAGGAAGACAAAGGTTTAAAATATGGAAATGATGCAAATAAAGAAACACATTGAAGTTGAAAGGTATAATAGATGACATTGGTATACCCCTGCCCCATCTGTTTGGTCTGTGCCAATTGTTACCTGAAGATAGATCAAAGGAGATCCTAAATTCAAAATCCATTTTGAAGGTGAGAATAGCCTCATAAGAAAAAGAAAATAGGACAATATTTTTTTTTGCAGGAGAATGCCCATGAAAAAAAGAATTAGGCCCCATGGGAAGGACTTTTGTCAGTGCTTACAATAATGCTACTGTAAAAGCAAATATAAGAAGTAGGGGCTAGGAAAATCTTAAGGAGCATATGTGTGTATAAGTGGAAGATGGCAGCCATGATAAAGCAGGAACTGGCTCTTAGTGATTGTGGGAGTAATGGAGAAGAAAATGTTGAAGGACCCGAGTTCAATCCCTGGTACCCCCCCTGAAAATGTTGAAGAGTGACAGCCAAAGTTTGTGGGCACAGAGAGAACTATTCCCCAGGTAACTAAAGATCTAGTATAGTGTAGGTATGATTGATGTGATAATATAAATGTAACCATTATAACCTCTAATTTTTTTCAAGACATTCAATGTTTATCTATAGTTGTGGTGCTGCTGGATATAGATAGTTCCTTTCATGCTACCTTGCTGTCTTAGGTTTCACTTCATTTTTACCTGTGGCTTAAGTGTTAGTTTGGGTGGCATTCGGAGTGAGTGACCATTTCTTCCCACTAGTTTATGAACTAGAATAAATGGTTTGGAAGAAGGATAAATGTTTCGCAAAACCTTAAGTAGCTGTATTTTACCTTCCTTATATTTTCCTGTGGGCTGACTTTTAATTTTTCTCATATAAACATGGGAACACCACATAATTCTGAAAGGAAACCCACACTTACTTGATAGTATTATTTGAGAGCAAATAAAACCTAAGGATTGGCAAAAAGAAAAGTTTGAATTTGATTAAGAAGTGGAAGGCTTTAAGTGACACTCCAGTGCCTTGGGCTGGAGTTTCAGAAAGTTGGCAAGGGAATTGAATTCCCCAGTGCTCAGGCTTATGACGGCAAGAATAAAGCTATTTTTATTCTCTAGGCAACAGCTTTCCTCTGCCAAATTTCCCAAGACTCATACAATGAGAGCATCCATCCCAAAACGATTAATGCAAATTTAGTAATTGTGCACATGGATCATTTCCCTGTCACCCATTTTATCCATAAAGCGTGGCTTTCTCTCCATGCACATATTGCTCATGTTTTGTGCCATTCACCTGTTGCTGGGGGCATGGAACAAATTACCTCTTTGTGTGAGGCTGCAGGAAGAAGAAATTATCACATTTGTGGCTGGCACCCATTACTAAACCAGGCATGTAATTATTTGAATCAGAATGATTGTACGAACAAAGTCAGATTTATCTTGGATATCAGAAGGAGAGCATCTGAGGTCTGATCCACAGCTGGACAATCTCCCAAAGGGAGAACGGGTAGGAGGATATAGGCTTCTGTTAAAAAAGATAAATTTTTGGCAGAAAAGATAAATTTCAGTCGAAGCCAATGAGACCTCAGGGGTTCTGGCTTTTGTAAAATTTTAAGTGAAGTGAGTGCAAGTGCAAGGTTTTGAGTTGAGAGCCCTGGGGAAGTTAATCACAAAAAAGAAGTATTATGTTGCCAGCCTCACAGTGTGGACTCCCCCAAAGCACTTCACACAAGAATCTCAAACTTAATCAACCAACAAGGCTCAAAGGAGTGAGCCAGAAAGCCCCTTAGGCTTGTGATATCACTTTCAAGTTTCCAGGAAGCACTGACGCCTGCCTAATAGGGCCTTTCTGGAAAGGACGAACTCCCATTCACAGGGCACTAATCAAGCCTAAGCTGTGTTCAGTCGGAGCTTTAAATTGACAGTGCAAAGTAGAGTAGCCACAGTAAGGTATGAGCCTCCTCCTTGGAAACCATTTGCTGTTAAACAGCCCACTGCTTGCTGGCACTCCCATTTGCTAATCGGAGTGGATAGATGCTCACCCCACACTCCACTGCCGGGATAACACAGTGTCCAGAGACTTTCTTCTACATCACAGGCTGTCAAGCCGACTTCCTGAGAGAAACATAATCTTTTAAGTGCCTGTTAATGCTTGTGTATTAAAAACATGTGAATTTGCTTCTTCAAGAATGGGAAGAAACATATATGTACAGCATATGGTCATTTGTAAGTGTCATCTAAAGGTGTTAGGCACAGAGGGTCAGGTGACTTAAAGCATCCCTTTCTCAAATACCTTACGTTGTTTGTTTTGAAAGGGCAGTGGACTTGTAACCCCATCCTCGACAGAAGCTTAGCTGACTCTGTCTTCTTCTTGCTATAATAAATTGGAAAAAGAATAACATGATCAAAACACAACAGAACAGAAACAGAAGGATCTAATTGATAGAATTGTAGGGGAAAATGGCACGGAGTGCACAGAGGCAGACAAAGCTCAAAGTTTACTGAGTGTCCTTTGGAGAACACCTTTCCTGGGGATCGGGCTCTCGATTAGGTCCTATACCTTGCATCCTCTATTAACTGTTTAGTAATGCAAATAATTCTTGTCACATAAATAATAATTAACATTGTCTGGTAGAAGGCAGCTTATTCTTGCCATGTGAATATTCATCAGATTTACGTCGATTTGCAAATTGATTGCACCCTCCTTGATTGCCTGTGTATGTTTGAAGAGTTTGAATTCCCCTTGAACCAGTTGGGATATCTCATTGGTTTCCTTGTTAATAAGTTAAATGAAATATTTTGCAATATTCATTTTACATCTCTCTGCAAGTTATATTAAACTTTAAAAATATTGTATTTATTAGTAACAATTTAGGGGATTTTTGTTTTGCTTTGTGTGGGTTCAATACTATACTCATATTAAATCACTTTAAAATTAATTTTAGGTTGAAACATGATTTTAAAAATGATGATTACAATCATTGGGTAGCAAAGGTACAGGGTCAGTCTGTTTTTCCCTTTAATCTGTCAGGGTGTTGGACGTAGCAGAGACAAGAAACTATGCTGCTAAAAAAAATCTTCTATTGTATGCTTTGATGCAAATTCACCGAAATGAATGTTGTCATAGAACAAAAGAAAAAAATTAATTTAAAAGATGAATGGGTCAGCTCTCTAGACTGTGTACTTCTTTATATGACATACACATTCTCCAATAGTTACTTTTGACTAAGAGCCAAGAAAAAGCTATATTCAGGTAGTGCATTTTAGACCACACTTGTGAAGTCACACTATACCACAGTATTCAATTGGATGAAATTAATTTTGTGGGCTTCAATGTACAAGTCATGAATGTTTAGGAATCTGGCTTTCCGGACAGCATTTTCTCCTTTTATTCTATTAAGTTTATTGGTACTTTTTAGATATATAGTACAGTTACATTCATCATTGGGATCTTGTACCTTTATATGATGTATCTTGGTTCTTATTGTTTTTCTCTATACCCCTGCCCTCCCTTCACCCCTCCATCTTTCAGTATTTACAAATATTTTGTTTCCATTTTATCCTTTTCTCATGTTTTTCCTTTTCCCTTTTTTCTTTCCCTTACCCTTCCCACTTAACCTACACCTTTAGCTCTTTTCTTGCTATTTCACATTATCAGTTATACAATTTGAACCTTATTTACACTTTCAGTTTTTCACACCAGAGAAAGTATTCAGTATTCATATGTGTGTCCTGTTTGTTTCACTTAAGAATATGCCCTCAATGTATATCTATTTAGCTACAAATGTCTCTAGTTCCTCATTCTTTATAGATGAGTAGTACTCCACTTAATGGAAAAACCATATCTTCTTTATCCAGTCTCCAGTTAATGGGCATTTGGGCTGTTTCCAAGTTTTAGGTCAGTTAAGTCTCCTCAGGTATTACTTTTGGGGCCATAGAGCCTCTTAGCTCTTTTTGTTCTCTTTGTCAGATGTGTCATCTACCAGGATGGGTCACAGTCTGTGCTGCACCATGTGGTGCTCTTTGGAAGCATGGGAACAATTTTTTCCCTTAGAGACTGTAATGGATTGACCAATGGCCAGCTTGTAACACCAGCTGAATTCAATCGACATGGTCTGGGTGTGGTGGATCCACCTGAAAGTTGTTACCAATAGCCATAAAAAGAAAGCTGGAGGGGAAGATCTCAGCCTGTTGATTTTCTAGAAGAAGCTTGCTGAGGATGGTTTTCCTGTTGCCAACTAGGCTGTTCTCATTGGAGGAAGAGCTCGGGGCCTTGCTGTCACTGGGAATGGCTGCTGTTTTCTTCAGGGGAGCTCTGAATTTCACTGTGAGCATCACTTTCTGGCTCCAATGTGGATCCCTCAGCTTGGTGGCACAAATTCTTCATCTCACCAGTGCAGATTTCTGGCTTCCACCACTGGCCTTTGTGCTTTCCAGGTACAAATCCTCAATGCAGACAAGCATGAAACACTGCCATGGGCTCTAAGCCTTTAGCTAGACTTGTGTGATACTGCTGAAATCTAGGCCCTCGCTGAATCCTTTGGGCTTCTCGTGTGTGGTTAAGCTCTTGCGCTGCTTTGCATTTCACTTTTTGGGTAATTATCATAACATAATCTTATAAAAAAAAAAAGGAAAAAAAAAAAAAAGAGATTCCTGGCCTTGCAAGAAAGGTAAAGCCTCCTGATTCATTAGAGGGTGTAAGAAATAGTGGGAGGTTTTTATTAAAATGAGCTGCCTCAACCATGTAGCTGGTCTCTACTAATCCTCCTAACAAATGCCCATCCTTTCACCTTTCCTTCACTGGCTTCTTGAAAGAGAAATCTAAACTCATTGTTTCCATTTTTCCTTTTTCTCCCTTCTATTTTCCAGGGCTGGGGATTAAACCCAGGGCCTTGCACATGGCTGAGCCACAATCCAGCCTTCTTCCATTTTGGGACTGTATTACGGATCTTGTACCAACACTGTGATGACACCTTATAATATCTTTATACCTATAAAACTATTTCCTCTTTCTGTATCTTGCTTAACATTTCTTGGAATGTTGTCTTCTTTCGCCTTAGTTCTTTTTTTTTTCCTATGAAGTTTATTAGTACATTCAAAGCAAACAATACAGTTACATTTATCATTGAGATCTTGGACCTTTACATGATATGTCTCAGTTCTAGTTTTTTCCCCATACTCCTGCCCTCCCTTCACCCCCTTCACCATTCCCTATTTAAAAAGACTTTGTTTCCATTTTTTCATTTTTTTCTTTTCCTTTATTTCCTTTCCCTTACCCTTCCCACTCCCCTTTACCTATTTTATTCCTATTTCATACTCCCAGTTATACCTTTTGAACCTTATTTACACTTTTAGTTTTTCATGCCAGAGACTATTCAGTATTTACTCATGTGTCCTATTTATTTCACTTAAGAGTATGGCCTCAATGTGCATCTATTTAGCTATAAATGTTTCTAGTTTCGCATTGTTTAAGGCTGAGTAGTACTCCATTTTATAGAAAAACCACATCTTCTTTTTCCAGTCTCCAGTTAATGGGCATTTGGGCTGTTTCCAAGTTTTAGCTATTACAAACTGTGCCACTATAAACATGGGTGCACGTATATCACTGTGGTATGATTCTTTTAATTCTTTTGGAAAGATACTCAGCAGAGGGATAGCTGGGTCAAATGGAACCTGCAATCCTAGTTTTTTGAGGCATTTCATATTGATTTCCACAGTAGTTGCACCAGCCTACATTCCCACCAACAGTGGAGAAGGGTTCCTTTCTCCCCAGCATTTATTATTGGTTAATTTCATTCAGTCTTTCTTTCTTTCTTTCTTTCTTTCTTTCTTTCTTTCTTTCTTTCTTTCTTTCTTTCTTTCTCTCTCTCTCTCTCTCTCTCTCTCTCTCTCTCTCTCACTCTTTTCTTTTTTGGGGGGGTTTATTTGAGACAAGGTCTCACTATATAGTTGAGACTGACCTGGAACTCACTATGTAGCCCAGGCTGGTCTTGAACTTGCAGCGATCCTCCTGCCTCAGCTTCCGAAGTGCTGGGATTACAGGCATTTGCCACCATGCCCGGCTAGTTAATTTCTTGATAGCAGCCATTCTTTCTGGGGTGAGGTGGAGTCTCAGCATTATTTTCATCTGCATCTCTTGAATAACCAGTGATCCTGAATATTTTTTCATATATTTATTTGCTGTTTTACTTGTCTTGAAATGTCTGTTCATTTCAGATGCACATTTTTGAATTGGGCCTTTATATTTATGGGGTGTGATTTTTTTGAGTTCTTTATATTTTCTAGTTTGTAGACCTTTGTCTGAGGAACAGCTGGTAAAATCTCTGGGCTTTTGTTTGTTTGTTTGTTTGGTTTTTGGTTTTTGGTACTGGGGATCAAACTGGAGTCCTTGTGCTTGTGAGGCAGGCGGCAGAACCAGTGAGCTAAATTCTTGGCCATCCTTTCTTTTAGATAGTTTTCTCTTTTTTTTTTTTTTTTTGTATTGGGGATTCAAATTGGGATCTTGCACTATAAATCCTTAGCCCCTGATAGTATTTTTTCGATCACTCAAATATAGTATGTCTTAATAAACCAGAATAAATTCTCCAAGGAAAATTATAAATCTTTTCTTATTTCCCCTTGAAATTTAAATTTATCCAGGTGAAGGAGAACTCATGATCCATTGATATGATAGACTAATGGGATAACTTGAACTTACATTCAAGTGTCTGATGGATAACTATTCAGATTCTCATTTTCTGAGATGTCGAAGAAACTTGGGGTTGAAGGTAATGTATTTTGTTAAATCATTGGCTTTATAAGGAAACATACAATAAGATATTATTTAGTTATTGGTTATTCCTTCTGGCTCAATATTAACCTGTCATGAGAAAGTGAGAAAAGAATAGAGAAAAAAATCACTACTTAAAATTGTATCTATACTAGAAATTTACAGCTACCCTGTTACTTATACAGAGTTTCATTTTCAGTGGTGAACTGTCTAGACCTAAAGAGCCAGAAAATTCACTATCTGAGGCCCTTTACTAATTAAACTTTAGCGTTCAAGATTTCCCAAGTTATAACCTAAAGTTAACTTACAGACTTTAAACTATAATCTGCACTGTATTACTTTCATGAAACTGTACTGCTCATATTTCTACTATATATGGAATACTTTCCTTTAAACAAAAATCTTGGGAATTATTTCCATGTTCACATAAATACTTTATTCATCTTGTAACACAATCCTTCTAAAACTCTTCTGTGGTGAAGGAAAGAATTTTTGAGGGTTCCTATTTAGTTGTAGTTCAACACTGGAAAATAAAAAATAAATTGCTACAAATATGAAATAAGTATAAAAAGTCTTATAAAATGTAAACCCTAATTTGTTGTTGTTATTTTAATCAAAACACATTTTCAAATTGTACTCAAAGCCTCTAAATCCTTTGAATCTTTGTACTTATGTCTTCACAAGCCAGTGCCCACTATTTCCACTGACTGAAGTCAGTGGATTTAGGTTGGGTAGCAGCACAGCAAAATTTTCCACACAGATGCTATGTGCTCCATTTTTTAACTTCATACCCCTAAATAAAAGTAACATAATCTTTATTTGAAAGTAACCATTCAAAGTTGTTACTTTCCATACAATAATTGACTTAGTCTGTATTGTTTTAGAATTCTTGAATAATTGTGTTTCCCCTTGAGGAAAGTTGCAGCGCAAACTCCAACCAAATCTTCAAATAAATGTTTGCTGAATTCCAATTTTCTGAAATCCTTTATCTGAAATAAGTTTTTAAAGATGTCAAAACCTGTTTTCTCCCCCACCTTTTTTTATCCAAGAGTTAATTTTGACAGAAATGCCTTGAGACCATGGGATGCTTCTCTGAATTTGTAATAAATGGAATCGAAGAATTTGAATGCCTACTATAATTCAATTTTCCCAAATGTACTGTATTGTGCCTGTCCATTTTACATTAAACTTAGGAAGACATAGTTTTACTTTCACTGGGATGAGATTTCACTGGGATGTAACTTTTTTATTAGATGGAAAGTATTTTCATAATTTAAAATTTTTCTGAAACAATAACAAATTAATGATAGAAGTTTAAATACTTTGAGAAAAAAATGCTTTTGGCTAAAGGATCTACATAAACAAAATTATTATAAATGTAGGATTGATCATAGTATGGGAGAAAAGGTTTTTTTTTTATCCATTGCAATATTCATGGCTAAGACCTCTGTAGAAAGGACAGATTAATAAAAGAAAAGCAAAAAATTTTTGTTTGCATACATTAAAACCTTCAGAAATGAAGATATGAGCAAGGAAAACAGTGTATTTTTATGCTTAAGTGTGATGAAGAGTTAACAGTCATACAAAAATACAGTTAGGCCAAATGGATTTTGTTGTAGTTACAGTCTGAGGGACTTGGTGAGCCTGTCCGACAGACTTTGACATCTCTTTGCTCCTTGGATGACTGTGTTCCTTTCCTTTATGTATAGGACAAGGTTCCTCTGGAATAGGAATTTTCTTCAGAAGATGGTGAAATATTTCTTCTCCTCAAGGGAGAAGAGTGGGAGAAGGAAAAATTAACAGTCCCACTTCTGCAGTTTCCTCAAATGCCAAGGAGCCATATTTGGGGGTATCATTTCTTGAATCACATGATTAGCCATGATATATCTGGTTTCAGTTCTATAAAAAATAGTCATTCTGTTTATCTAAATGTTGATGTTCAAACTTACTGTTCAGAATAAGTTTCAAGATTAAAAAAAATTAGAAGAATTGAATGGAAATAAATCACATTACATGTTGGGGCGTAAGAGGACGAATGGCTGAGCAGTGACCCCCAGTCCTGGAATACTGGTTCTCACGGGGCACAGGTGTCCCAAAGGTGAAGTGCTGGAGCCAAGTCCCTCCTCATAAACAGCCCCCTAATTCCTTCTTTGTTCCTGTTCCCAGTATACACTCCCTTTTAGTCAGGAAAGATGTTATCGTATCTAGATGTTCTATCTTTAGTTTGAACAGTGTGTATCCACTCATGCCTCCTTGTGACTGCTATTAATCATCAAACCGCTGTGATCACGCTTCTTTGTGTGTCCCAGAAACTAGCTATAAAGACCCTGGGTAAGAAATAAACTTTATCATTAGCCATCAGCTTCTGGTCATTCTCATTGTGTCTGTGGTCATTTCCCCGAGACCCCTCCTCCAGAAGGAGACCTCAACAATTACTTAACTTAGTAACTTACAATTACTCAACTTAGCCATTTAGATAGTGACACTATGAATAGCTGTTAATGAAAGTGATTGATAAACTAAGTTTAATACAAATTAAGAATCTTTGTATATTGTTAGACTGTATTTATTGGAGAAGGTTTTAAAATCATGTCAAGTTTTGAATGCAATAAGCCTTGTTTACAGTATGTTTTGTGGAAGTTGTTGGAGTAGTTTTGGAAGGGTGCTGAAGGCTATTTTACAACACCTATCAGTAAGATTTGCTAGTCTGAGGATGACATTTTTCTTTGAAGAATAATGTAAAGCTAATCAGATACCAAAGTCCATTATCTGATGAGAAATAAACAAGTGACAATATCATAGCTGTCAAAATGAAAAATAGTCCTGTAAGAGGGTTGTCTAGGAAAATGATGAAGAATACAAAAAAAAAAAAAAATCTTGGAAACAAATTGAACGGAGCTACCTTTTTCCTTTAAACATAACAATGAATCAATATTTTAACACAAATATATTACCAAAAACTTGAGAGTTATAGTAGAAGGGCTCGTAACATCGACAGTAAGTGGCTATCCCATTCTTATGAGAACATTCCACATATTACTGAAGTATGCACACTGGGTGGATAATGTTGGAATCCAGACTTTAATTTCTTAATTTAAAATGTGTTTGTTTCAAAATTCAAACTATATTTAAAACAGAATATATTCAGTCTCTGTTAGGGCACAGACTGAGATGCTATGAAAAGATCTCCCAATGCAAGATCTCATAAAGGACAGATATTTATTTCTATTGTAGATAAAAGTTTCAAGGGATGCAGGAAGTAAAAATCAAATTTCTCAGCCCTGTGATGATCAGGTTATCTCTGTGATGTACTCTTGCCTACTTGCTGTCCTCATCTGCCCAACCAAAGTTGGCAAAAGTCCATCCCATACTATTAGAAGAGTAACAGAAAAGGAGATGCAAGGCAAGCAGCTTTATTATGATGAAATGCTCAAGCAATTGCATATACTATCTCTGCTCCTTTTGTACTGCAAAATATTTAGTTACATCAGCCCAGTTGGGTTTGAGAGGCTGAAAACTGAGATAGCTGTGCTGATATAAGCCTTGTTACAACTGGGCAGATTGGCAGGAAGAAGGGGGAAGAAAATATTGTGGGATAACGAGCACACACACACACACACACACACACACACACACACACACATATGAACATGTGATTTAAATTAAATAGCAGAATCTAAATGAAAAGTAAACATTATTCTCTTGTCTTAATTTTTTAGTCCTACTGGTAATTTTTGTGGGATTCTCAGATACTTTTATACTTATGGGAAATATGCAAGTTAGTTTTTCTTCCTTTTTATAAAGTAAACCTTATTATATATACTTTTTTGGAGTTTTTTTTTGGTTGTTGTTACTTAATGCCTTCTGGAAATATTTTATTATTTTTTCATATTTAGTAGCAGTGCATTATCTAACTGTATAGCAGTAATAATTTATTCAGTGTCTTAATATTGAATATTTGTAATTTGAAAAATGTTGTTTTTCCTCTTTGTGATCAGTTCTGCAATGAAATTTCTTTATACATCTCTTCATAGGTATAAATATCTCTACATAGCTCTTAATCTTTGATGAATATAATATGTATCATTGTACCAAATACACCCATTGTAAGACCTATATATATTTTGCTGAGTTATAGTACTGTATTCACCATGTAATGATCATGACTAGCCAGGTTTGAAAATTTTTTTATCACCTTTAAAAAGTTGCCTTTTGCCTCCTTGCAGTCAATTCCTATTGTCATCTAGACCCTGGTATTTATTTACTTGTTGTTGCTTTCAATTTTACTTTTCTAAAATTTTCACATAAATGGGATTATGTAATAGGATTCATTTTTTTCTTGACTTTTTTAGCACAATTAAGTTTTAAACTTTTCTCTTAGTTAATTTTCTCATTGCTGAGACAAAATACTTGACACTCACAAGTTAAAGGATGAGAGATTTATTTGGCTTATGCTTAGAGGTTTCAGTCCATACTTTGCTGGCTGTAAGGCAGAGTGGCACATAGCAGAGGGGCATCACAGAGGAGAAACCATTCATTATAGGCAAAAACACCAAAAGTAACAAGGGACCTAACAGCATCTTTCTGCCCCTTTTATCTTATCAAGACCACTTAGGCTAGGTAGCACTAACACTCTTACTCCTACTACCCTTAAATTAATTCCAGTGTCACACATTCTAGATTCAGCCATCTCTGCAAACCCCCCCCCATGACTACATGATGCTTTGAGGGTACATCTAAACACAAGCCATAGCAACTTAGTTTTGAAAAAACAATTTAGACTTACAAAAAGGTCATAAAATGGTACAGAACTTGCATTGCTTCCTCTAATATTAATAACATCTTACTAAAGAATCAGTGAAACAAAAAAAATAATAGTACAGCAATATTTTAATTTTAGGTATGTTGTACATAATAGGAAGAACCAAAACTATATCAATTCAAATGTATCTATATAAGTAGTTATTGCATATAGTTTACAAGAACTGTTAAATTACTGTTTTATAGTAAATAATAAACGCAACACCAATTCATAAATTCTACTTGTGATTTTTTTCCTGCCAAGTTAACACTGTTTAGTCTTAGACCACAATAAGCTTTTTTATTTTTTATTTTTATTATTATTTTTTTTTAAACTGGAGATTGAACTCTGGACCTTGAGCTTGTGAAGCACCACTGAGTTAAATCCACAGCATAAATCCACATAAATCCACAGTTAAATATAGTACTTTTAAAGAAGGTTAGGAGTAGTATTATTCACGTTGACTGGAAAGAACATATTAAGTTCATGTGAGATTCTTCCTATTTATTCTCATGAGAAAAATTCATCAACTAAGTAGTTTATTTCTATCTAAAGTTGGGAAATTGGGCATTTTTCACCTTTACTAAAACTCTTATTTGGCTTACCTTCAAGGTACATCTTTCACTGTTAATCAGGATTAGCAAATTTGAATAAGTAGCATAATGATTACCATAATTATTTTGATATTTATGTTGAATTATTAGTTAGATAATTTCTAACTGTTGAGTAGTATTTCATTGTGTGTGTGCACCACATTTTTGGCAATATAGTAAGTAATAGAAAAAGAAACAAAATTTAACCTGAAATCATTTCATAACCAAACAATAATGACTAATATTTTGTAGTGTAACACTTGAAATAATTTTACATGTTGATATACCTACTTATGAATACTTACTCCTCCACACTCCAAACAAATCATGTGATACTTGGTTTTTATAATCTGCCTTTTCTTTTAGCAGTATATCCTGAAAACTTTTTCTACCTACACGAACTCAGGATGTTCCCATATTTTAAAGATTTAGCAAGTGCTGAATAATCATTTTCAGTTTATTTCTATTATAAAATGCTATGATACAGATCTTTGTAAATGCAATATAAAGTCCCCAGAGTATTGTTTTATTAATTTTATATGTTACTGTTATATCTCCTAAGCTTTACTAAAAATTAAAAAATTAGCATAGGTCTTATTGCTAGCTGACCAGGGACCTAGGGCTCCTAGTGCTGTTGAAATGATTGTCACCCTTTTGTGACAACTTTTTATGATAAAGATGGAGGGAAGCCACCACAGATGCTCCCCCATGTGCATGTGCACAAGCCCTTCAGCAAACCCACACCCCTTTAAAAATCTTTTGCAAATTCTATTCTTGAAGGTTTTCCATTTTTAGAAGAAGAAATGTGTCTATTTAGGTCTACCCTTGGTTAACCACAGCTAATGAAACATGACATGAGTGAAGCCTGGGACAAGTCCCTTGGGCAAGAAGCTACAGATATATAGAACACCAAGAATCCAAGTCACTTCTCAGTCCGGGGTAATTACACTGACACCTAAGAAAAATAGCATCAGAGTTGCTTGACAGTTGGAATCGAGTAAAGAATTATCAGAAATGCTGTATGCTAGGTTCATGCCTAAGGCAGATGACCTGGTTGACAGACTTGCCCAAGATGACTATATTAATGCTTCAGTTCACTGTAAGAGGAACTAGCAGCAGTTCTCCTTAACTAATCGTGTTAAAATTGTTGACAGATTTCATGCCTGCTTTTCAGCTGCACAACTATTCATCAGTGAGGTGAAGAGAAGAATTTCATGCACAAGAATTAAAATATGAATGTGCATCTTCCTTTTGGTACTTTGAGAATATATGAATTGTATTTCCTTTTTTAAAAATTGCTGATTATTTCTCCAGTAAGTGAAATTTTCCATTTTTTTATTTAAAAAGAAAAATAAAATTGAGTGATATATGTTTCAGTTCTGAGGAACTGTGCAACTTGCTGTGCAAGTTTTAAGCTATATATCTGAGTCACAGACTTCTCTTAGGTAAGTCTAAGGTTAGGCCAAAATTTAGAGGGTCAAGTGTTATGAAAATATGCTCAATTGGATTAGAAATCCTAAACCAACAAGATCCCACCCCTTGGGGGCTGAAAATTGGGGTTATAAATTAAGTTTATGTTTAACATCAAGTACCATTTTACATTATATAGCAAAGTATTTAAATCACCTTTGTTTTTGAGGATAAATGGGGTTTTCAATAATATACAAATTGCTTTCAAATATATTTTCAAAATTCTTTAAGAACATGTCTGTATTTGATTTAGCAAGATCAGGATTAGCTTTACCCCATCATTTCTTAGTGAAAATCTTGATAGATCTTTTATAAAAGATAGATATCCTTATCAATGATATAAATCATATAGAGATAAGTAGAAGTAGTTGGTATGATTACTTCTATTAGTATTGTTACCACATTTCTCTTTGGATAGAGCTTGGATTGGCTTGTATGAACACCTAAAACACTGATTAAGGCTAATGACCTAATTTTCAATTTTGTTCTCTCTTGCTTCTAGTGATACCTTTTTGTTTAGATT